GATCTTCTGAAATTACACCTGTTGTTTGTGGTAAATTTTGTGCCACTCTTTCCACCTTGACACGCACATTCAATGAGAACCCTCAAACCGATAAGATTGGGAAAATAAATGAGCAACTTGATAATACAAAACAAATTATGCTGGAGAATCTTGACAGATTGATTGATCGGGGCGAACGTATTGAAAACCTTTGTGATAAGACGGGACAACTGCGGGACGAGGCGCAAGGGTTTCATTCGAATGCCAGGGCATTAAAGAGAAAAATGCTTCTTAGGAACATTAAACTTGCCATCGCTCTCATTTGTGTATTGGGCCTTGTAGGTCTGATTGTCGCGTTTATGATTTGTGGAGTGGATTTTAAAAAGTGCAAAAAATAGTGTTTTGTGGTTCGCTCTTTCTGCGTATTTCTTTTTTAGTAGATTTTTTGCGTTTGGTTTTGTTGCACTCCCAGAATGTTGGAAATAAAGGCATTCAGCTATCATTTTCCTGTTTTTTATTCCATCCTTCAATGTTTAAAATTTCTTTTTAAATCTTTTTTTTTTTTTTAATTTTAGCTATTTCTAAAGTGAGAAATGAACTTTCTCACTTCAGAACCTACAAAGTGGGCGGACACCGTAGAATTTTCCATTGATTGTTTGTTTTCATCTCAATCAGCAAGAAATGTTGACGATGTCTTGTCGAAGGCGTCCACAAGAAAGCATCAGAAAAACTTGTTGAAGGCGGTGGAACCATGTATACCAAAAATGATCGAGAATCCAAACGGCATTTCAATTTTGACATCCCTTGTAAAATATGGAACAATTCTCACTGTTTCAAATGTTACAAGGATAGTTCTGCATTCATGTGAAAAGGTTCTTACCTGCGAAAAGGCACCCGTAGAGGTTTGTGAAGCCCCTTTGGGTGTTCTTTTGGAGCGTATTCTTTATCGTGAGGATTGCACCGAGGATTGCCGAATAAATTTAATAAAAATATTGAAATCTCTTGACCATTCTCTTCTTCTGGGGTCCTCTGTATTTTTATTGGCCACAGCTCGTTTGATGATTTTTGACAGAGCGTTTGCTGTATCTGTATGCTCTAACATCAAGGCAAAAAAAGCATTTTTTCAATTGTTTTTGATTAAGACAAAAAAAAATGTGGTGATTCGTTTCTGTGAATTGGTGCTTTCCACGGAAGAAAGAAGGGAAGATCTGACGGATTTATGTTCCGTTTTTGTATTTAATGCTCTTCATACCCTATATACTGCGAATTCTTCTCTGCGCCCATGGAAAGAGGTCACAATGCTTTTAGCTTCATGCGGGTGCATTGCCGTTGTTCGGGAAATGGTAAAACTTTTATCAGAATGGCCAGATATTTCTGTTTACTTAAGGAATGAACATTATGCGAAAGTAATTGCTTGTCTCCTAGCTCGAAACCCAGAAATGAATGATGGAATTGTATTGCTTAAAGTGTTATTTCAAAAAAAGGAGGATTTTGATGAAATTATGGCATCTCGAAAATCTTCACAATTGCGGCTACTTGCAGCCATTGCCGAGAAGCCGGCGTATGTGGCGGCCTTGTCAGAAACACTGGGTGAATCCCTCGGGAAAAGGCTTCTTGCTGCAGCTGTTCGCTACCGAAATATTAACAAACCAAAAGCTCTTACAACCAAAGAGGCTCTTCTTCAGCGAATTGACAAAATACGCTCTGTTTCCGGCGCAATTGGTAGTTTGGATAAAACGTTGAAAAGACGACGTGAATAACTGATAGTAAAGGTGAAAATTACCAATTTATATCCTTTTTTTTATTTTATTCAAAATTGCATTTTGAGGAAAAGCAAAAATTATTTGTTTGCTTTAGCCTTTTTTCTTTCTTTTTTTCTTGTTATTTAAGGGCGCCTTTTTATTTTTCCCTTTGCTTATTATTATTTTTCCCTATGAAGTTGTATATATTTTAGGATATGAAGAGATTATTATTTAATTCATCCATTTTCTCTATGGAAAGTGCCTTGCAATGTTCAAGACGTTACAACCTATTGGAGCATAAAACAAAGGGTTCAATGTTCATGAAACATTTGGATTTGTACGCTCGGCGAGATCCTCAGTTGGCGCCATATTTACTTAGGGAAGTGGATATTGAGTATAAAAGGAAATGTCGTAAGGTGTCTTTTTGTATTTGGATGTGCGTATTTACCGTTGTTACGGCTTTTCAAATGCGTATGCAGGGTGAGCAATTGCACTATTTGCGTTTGTATGCGGATTGTGTTCGGGCTGAACAGGATGCGAAAGATGAGGATGAAATTCGACGAAGAAAGGCATTTGTAGCTTTAGTAAATGTTGTTAGAGATGCCTTTGATCGAGATCAAAAATGGAGTAGGAGTGATCATGAAAAGGCCCTAAAAGTGTTATAATGGAGGTGATTTTGACGATGGTGAGAAAGGTTTACAGAGAGTGAGGGCATTTATTGGTGGTTTAACGTGTCTTCAGAAATTCCGAGTACTTTATTAATAATCATTTTTTAAATAAATTTTTAATAAAATAAATTAGACGATGCGACTTTGTTTTTTTTCCATATTTATTATTGTTATTATTGTCTCAGAGAAGTGTCTTAAAATAGCAATTTATAAAACCTGAATTATGTTGCCCCAAACCGTAAGGCGATATCCTTAAAAAAATTATTTATTGTTTCATTTTATTTGTCTATATATATATTTGCATACAGGCGAGTCGCGCTTAGAAAAATGTTCTTTCTAGTTGGTGCAATAGGCACACTTCTGTCAACATTCATGGCGGCGGATACTTTGTCACAGACATTTGGATTTCATCATGCCAATATAGGGAAATTCATGCTATTCGTGTGGATTTCTGCGGTTTTTATGGCTCCCTGGATGAGTAGTATAGAGATGCTGGGGTGTCTTCACTGTGTGGCTTTTGTCAGTGCCGCTGCACGATTTGGAGAAGCAGGTCTTTCATACGACTTTGTGAGGATCCCACTTTTAACATTTGTCCCAACTTTTGGAATACTGAACATTTTGTTAAACTACGCATGGCCCACCGCTTGTGAGTGAGTAAAAATTTTTCTGGAATTAATATATACATATATATTTGGGGATATATTCCCTTTTATTTAGATGTATTTCAAAAAGTTTGTGGGACGCACACACACACACACAAAAAAAAAAAAAAAAAAAAAAAAAAAAAAAAAAAAGGAAAAAAAGAAAAGCCATCTTGTTTCTTTTTTCTTTTACTACTGTTTATTATTATTATTATTATTATTATTATTATTATTATTTTGTTCAATTATTAGGGAGAAGCGGGGAAAACAAACATTTTTGTAATAGCAAGATGGATTACGCCAGCGCTATTCGACAGCAAGCGGAGGATCTGCAAGATGAATTGAAAGAATTAAATCTTTGGCAGGAAGAGGTTCTGCGGCAAGAGGAGGCAAACAAAAAACGAAGGATTCACCCTGCAAACACAGATGCAATACCACCTGTGAGGGGGACGGTACCTTCGCTAAAAGAGGCTGTTTTGAAATCTAATAAAAGGATTTTCGAAGAAGATCCAGTGAAAAATGCGAAGGAAAAAGGTAATACGTTTTTTCAGGCCGGAAAAATTAAAGAAGCCATAGAGGCATACAGCACTGGAATAGACCTTGATGCTGAGGGAACTGTAGCGCATGTGTTGTACGGGAATCGGGCATTGTGCTACTTAAAGCTAGAGCGATGGGCAGATGCGGAACTTGACGCCTCCGCATGTCTCCGTTTGAATCATAGTTACTCAAAGGGGTACTTTCGTCGGGCTATTGCCCGAAAGCAGCTTGGCAACTTGAGGGGGGCACGCACTGACCTTGAGGCTGTTCTTGCGCTTATTCCGAATGATGCAATTGCCATAAGTGAAATGAAAACAATAACGCAGATGTTGCAATTTGAGCGAGAAAATGCTGGTCCTGTTATTAAGAAAAAAAAGGTCATTATTACAGAAGTCGATGAAGAAGAAGAGGGAGAAAATGAACAAAAGGGAGAAACTGATAATAAAAAATCTGGTTCCGCCAGTAATGGGAACGAGCCCTTTGAACTGGAAAGAAGAGAGCACTTTCAAAAAGAGATGCAAGAGCTTGAAAGTGCTCGGGAGAAACGACGTCAACTACAAGAATCCAAGGTAAAGGAGGAAGAAGCAAAGCTTAATCAGAGGAGACGAACATCTGCTCGAGTGGAAGTTATTGAAGAAGAGTCTGTCGAGGTAAAAAATGAGAGTTCAATTCCACAGGCAACAATGGAGGAGGAAAGGATTAAATCGATGGATCTAAACTCTGTCGATTCAAAACCCCGCCCGTTAAAATCAACTGAGAATGGGCGTGATTCGCAGGACATTGCCCCACGCAGCTTTAGGACGTTTTGTAGGCCTTCTAAAGAGACGCTAAAGACACCAAAGTCGTTCACAGAGTTTGAACGGGTGTTTACTGATATCCGAGGTGATGAGGATCTCTGCTGTTATTACATCTCTTTGATACCCCCGGCAAATCTTCGCACATTATTTGGAAACAATATGACACCAGACATTCTTGTTTGGTTATTGTCTACTGTGAAGCTGCTCCCAGGGAATGTTGCAATTGCCTTTCTTCAAGGGTTATGTACGATTAAACGGTTAGAGGATATTGCTCTTTTTTTTGATAGTTCAGAAAAGAAGGTGGTCCAGGAAGTTCTTGACGTGATTCGCTCTTGTGGAGCTTCTCAAAAGGATATGACCTTATTTAGGGAAAGATTAAGGGTGGCGTGAAGGTATTGGATAAGGATCTGGATAGATTTGTGCGTGCATATCTGTTTATGTGGGTTTTTGGTGGGTGGGAATTTCATCTACCGGAAATATGTATCTTGTTCCTTGTCCCCATGTGGTGGGTTTTTCCTGCACAAGTTTTTTGTTCCATCGACAATGACAATTTAACACAAATGTCCACAAAACCACTGTATTTTCTTTTTTGGCTTTTTGTTCGTAATTTCTTTTGTATCTTTAGTGAGATTGGCAATGGTTAAGGAGACTAAGTTTTACGACTCTCTGGGTGTTTCCCCAGATGCCTCTGTTGATGAAATCAAAAGGGCCTACAGGAGGCTTGCTTTGAAGTACCACCCTGATAAGAATAAGGATCCCGGTTCACAGGAGAAGTTTAAGGAGGTTTCCGTTGCCTATGAATGCCTTTCAGACCCTGAAAAGCGCAGCCGGTACGACCAATTTGGCGAAAAGGGGGTTGAAATGGAAAGTGGTGGAATTGACCCCACAGATATCTTTGCAAGTTTTTTTGGTGGAAGCCGTGCTCGTGGGGAACCAAAACCAAAAGATATTGTTCATGAGCTGCCTGTGTCTCTTGAAGCTTTCTATACAGGAAAGACGATTAAGTTGGCAATTACACGTGATCGCTTGTGCCCGGCATGTAACGGCTCCGGTTCCAAGGTTCCGAACGCCAGCGTCACTTGCAAGGAGTGTGACGGTCGAGGTGTTAAACTTATCACGCGTTCTATTGGTCCCGGGTTCATTCAACAGATGCAAGTGGCATGCCCCAAATGCCGCGGAAAGGGTACTGATATGAGGGAGGAAGACAAGTGCGACAGTTGCAGGGGCCAGCAGATCAAGAAGGATAAAAAGATCTTTGAAATTTTCGTGGAAAAAGGTATGCATCGTGGAGACAATGCGACATTTCGGGGCGAAGGTGACCAAATCCCAGGAGTCCGACTCTCAGGTGATATCATTATCATCTTTGAACAAAAACCACATCCTGTTTTTACGCGTAAAGGGGATCATCTTGTCATGGAACGCACCATCTCTTTGGCGGAGGCGCTCACGGGGTTCACATTGAACATAAAGCATCTGGACGACCGTGATGTTTCAATTACATCTACTGGCGTTGTTGATCCCTCCAAACTGTGGTGTGTGAGCAGGGAGGGTATGCCTATTCCCAACACTGGTGGCGTCGAACGCGGAGACCTTGTTGTTAAGTTTCACGTCGTTTACCCAAGTGCCCAGAGTCTGCAGTCTAATGAAATTTCCGATCTGCGTAAGATTCTTCACTATCCTCCACAGCAGTCTCCGCCTCCTTCTGCTATGCTGTGCCATTTGTCAGAAACTAACATTGATCTCGAGAAGGAAGCTAAGCGTCGTCGACAGACAGGTGGCGATGATGACGACGACGCACCACAAGGGCACACTGGCGCGACTTGTACGCAACAGTAGTCCCTTTAAAGAAGGAGGAAATAAGAAAAAAAAAGGAGGAAGAAATAGAAGAGGAAGCAAGAAAAAAATTATTATTCTAGAAAAAGTATAAAATCATGCTTGCTTCGTTTTTTTTCTCATCCTCTCCCCCCTGTTAAGGTTCTAATAGCTAAGCAATTGTTGAAATATTTGCCTCTTTTTCCGAAGCCGCCTGCATGGGGGGAGATAAGCGAGCAATTATTTTTCTTTATTATTATTATTATTATTATTATTATTACTATTATTATTATTATTATTATTATTATTATTATTATTGACCTACTCTTTTTATAAATTTATTCTCTGCCAAGGACAGGCGGTATTCTGGTTTCACAGGGCTTGGGGTAATCCACGTTGAAGGTGTGTTTTCTACATTTTTGCTTGAATTTGTGTTTCGCACAACATTTTTTTTTTTCTTTTTTTTCTAGGGTGTTGCTTTTGGGAAGAGTGCGGGTCCTGGGGGGAGCAAAAGTGGATAAGACTGGGAGCTAACAATGCCCGGTGCGAACGTTCTGAGTTTCAAGCCACTCGGGGGGCCTGTGCTCGGCGTGTCGCATCGGCTACCGTTGAGAAATGGAAATAGCATTCCTCAGTGCGGCTTTGGAACGTACCGCATGACCCCCACAGTGGCAGGAGCTGCCGTCGAATATGCCATACATTGTGGTTTTCGACATATTGATTGTGCTAAGGCATACGACAACCAGAACGCTATTGGAGAGGCACTTCAACGTGTGATATCAACTGGCAATTTGAAGCGTGAGGAATTGTTTTTGACGTCAAAGCTTTGGCCCACAGATCAACACCCAATTCACGTGGAGAAGGCTTGTCGAGAGACGTTAGCGGAGCTGCGTGTGGACTACCTTGACTTGTATCTTATTCACTGGCCAGTGGTGTGGAATCATTCCCCGCATTTCAAGACCGATGACGAGAAATACCCCAAAGACGCCAACGGACTTCCTGCGGTTGATGATAGTGTCAAACTTATCGATACTTGGAGGGCTATGTGTGAACTTGTTGATAGAAATTTGGTGCGTTCAGTTGGGCTCTCGAACTGTAGTGAGAAACATATTAACGAAGTTATGAGTGATGGAAGTCTGTATGCACCGGTGGTAAACCAGATTGAACTTCACCCGGCGTTGGTCCAGCGTGACCTTCTTAATTTCCACGGTGCAAATCAAATAGTGACAGCTGCTTACAGTCCTCTGGGGATGCCTTCAAGATTTACACACCCGGACTACAAGGGTTTGTTGTCCGACGCATCATTACAATCCATTTCCGAGTATTCAGGATTTAGCGTGGCTCGTTTACTACTAAACTGGAACCTTGACATGCACAATGTCGTGATTGTGCGTTCAACCAACAAGGAACACATCAGATCGAACGCCAAGGCCTCTCTTTATGCACTCTCGGATCCCGTGAGAATGATCCTGGACCGATTCCAGGAGCGTGTGGGAACAATTCGTACAATCAATCCGACGGACTTCACTCGTGGCGGAGGGAGCTTCTTTGACTGAGATACTGATATCTGAGTTTTTGAGCCATTTTCCCCATTGGATGCATTTCTTGCTGTTACGTGTTTACTGGAGCCTCATATCTTTTTTTAAAGGCTTCGACGGCAAAAGAAATGCATTTTGTGTGAGTCAAAAAAATTTTTTTTCCCTTCAAATGTTGCTTTTCATTTTGTGTTTGTATTTTCTTTTAGAAAACAGAGGTTTGAATGGCTCTCAAGAAGGCAGTGAAGAATTCTGATGGAAAAGATGCTGAAACGGCTATTCTCCAATGGTTTGAGTGCGAAGGAGAGCCGGCGACGGTGCAGTCCTTAACAGATGCACTCGGTAGCAAGTTTGGGAAAGCACTTGTTCAGAGTGTTTTGGAGCAGTGTGTCAGTGCAAAGAAACTACAAGCCAAGGATATTAAGAAGGCTAGGCTCTACTTCCTCAACTCAGCTGAGGCGGCGGAGAAGCATGGGGGGGATTGTCCCGTGGATCCAGCAAGGATAGAACTCATGCAACAGATTCAACAACAAACGAAGCTTATTTCGGATCTCTCTAAAGAGTTAAATACACTACTTCAGAAGCCGTCTTCTTTACAGAGGGCCTCTAACATTGCCCTGCTAAGCACAGAGTGTGCCGCGCTAAAACAGCGTGTGGAGAATGTGAAACGCGAAATAAACCAAAGCCATGATTTAAAGAAGGATGAAGATTTTTCACTCCTAATTCGACGGTACAATCGAGCCAGAGAGCTTTGGAGGGAACGTAAACACATGGCGGAGCATGTTATTGATGCCATCTTGGGAGACAGCTGTGACTCCAAAGACCTCGCGGATCACTTTGGTCTTATTAGTGACCAAGAGGCAAATGTCTCTCTGAATGAGACAGCGATTACATTTCCGAGGGTTGAGAGTCTTGCAAATGTGTGACCAAGAGCCACATTACAGAGTGTTGTGAGGGGGAGGGGGAAATGATGGGAACATATATGTTTTTTTTTTTTTTGTTTGTTTGTTTGGGTGATGATGGGGTTTTACGGCTTCAGATTTATTTCCATGGAAGAATATTGGCTCCAGTGACATGTGTCATGGCTGGTATATATTTATACTTGAATGTGCCAGTGGCTTATATTGTAAATATATGTGAAAATTCATTTAATTATCGGTATATATTTTATTTTATTTTTTTTGCTGTAGGATTTTTCTTGTGTCTCATCTCTGCCCTAAAGTGATTGCACGAGAGTTCCGCGATGGATGTACAAAGCAGCGAGGAAGCCGATTTGAGCGATATCTTTGTGGCTCTTAAGGATGCTGTACACGGGGAGTGGGACGCGGATGCAGAAGAATTGTTAATAAAGGGGCTCATGGCATTTCAGGCAAATTTTTCAGCTCGCTTTAGTTCAGTTCGTGAAGAGTTAGAGAATCTTGGAAAGGATGTCTGCACGGCTTCTATCCAGGTTTCGAATGCTATGAATTTATTTGTTCTTCTCGCGCAAAAACAATTTGTTCAAAACCGTGTGTCTTTGGACGATGATGATGCTGACGATGATGGCTGCGATGCAAAGAGCAGAGTGGCGTCGGGAGAGACGGATCCCGAAGACGAAAAGCAAACGTCTGTTGATGATAAAATCGTGGAGGGCACTGAGGCAAGAGCAAAGTGTGTGTACCAGGAGGCTATCGATCTTGGTGTCCGCGTACTTGAGGAAAGAACGATACCGTTGTTTTCAGACGGCACTGCATCGGACGAGGGAGCTACCGCAAATAATGACGCACCGGAAGAGGAAGACGACACATTTGCTGCTCATTATTTTTCTGATCAATACCGCCATATACATTTCATGGCGCTCATTGGCTCGGAGCGATTTCTTAACGATCCATACGGTGGCTATTTTGATGATGGGGGCGTAGATTCTCGGCGCTCTTCCCCATTGGATCACTCCTTGGAGAGTGGAGCGAATCAGGTGGCGGTGACAACAGAACAGGAACCGAAATTCAACGCGGCCAGCGTTGCGCAATCGAAAACCGCGCCACCGCCACCACCGCCACCGCCACCACCACCTCCAGCCTCAGCAAACGCTGTGAAAGCGCAGATAGCAGTGCCCCAGCGGAATAAAAGGGATATTTCTAAAGTTTTTGCTTCTTCTGATAGTTCCGATGAACCGGATAGTCGCCCAGCTCCAATTTTGCGGCCAAAGCCAAGTGGAAAGAGTGCCAGTGCGTTTTTTGAGGGAAATAATTCAGCGGAATCAACATCTGGTGATTCAGCTGACATGCCGGCACCAAAGGTCCCAACCAAATCTACATGGGGACGAAAGTCTGTCATGTTTGCCGATGCTTCATCCTCTGACAGCGACAGCGAGGCTCCACCCCCGGCAATAAAGGCCAGAACGGTTCCTTCAAGAATGCTATTGAAACATGGTTCATCGTCATCATCATTATTGTCCTCCGAGGGGGAAACCAGAAAGGCTGTACCGCCGCCTAAGGTTGTGGTTGACAAGGCCAGGGCTAGCATGCCGCCGAAAACGGCATTGCCAATGGTAGCCCCACGAAAGGCAGAGGCGACGCTTTTAGAATCCGATAGCGGTGTGAGTGATCACATAACTCCGGCACCAATTAACGTGGTCCAACCTACTGGAAATTGCACAAGCAAGACAATTTCAGGGAATTTCATGTTAGAGCACGAGAAGGAGGCCTTAGTTTCCCCTGACGAAAAGAATGGACAACCAATTACTGTGGCTCTTTCTTCTTCCGTGCCCGTCCCTGCTTCCTTTCCTCCATCCTCAGAAATTGAGCAGAAGAAGCCCTCGGTGGTGGAACGGGCTTCCATGAAGGCTATTGCTTCTCTTCCCAGGCGTGTGTGCAAGAATTTGTCGACATCATCCTCGGAGATTGAAGGTCCTTCAACGGGCAAAATGCCCCCGTCACGTCCCACAAACTCCGGAGTTAGAAAGGTACCGCCACCGCCACCACCGCCACCGCCACCTTCCAAAAAAACTGAAGTCGAAGGTGCGACTCGTTTGTACAGCAGTGATTCTGATTTTGGAGGTGCTGCTTATGCACCACCACGAGTGCTTCGCAAGTTGACGGCTAAATGGGCGTCAAACAGACGCCGCGTGTACAGCAGCGACTCGGATATATGAGTAAGGAAGGAATGAGAAAATGGGGGTGGGTGAAGAGTTTAAGTGGCGAATGGAAACGCCAGTGAAAATTCATTTGATAGTTAGGAATGTGTCTTGTTGGTATGTGGGCGTTTTTTTTAATTTGCACACTACCGCTTGAAGGGAGAAGCAAGTGACAGGGTAAAAAATCAACTCGTTAAGGAGACCAAGAAAAAATAAGGGGATAAAATTTTTGGAATGCCATGGTGCCTTGAGGGACGTGTGGGCGTCGTGACTGGCGCTTCATCTGCGATTGGAAGACAAGTAGCTGCGCGATTGTATAATGAACACCGTATGCGACTGGCCTGCGTTTCCAGAAGGGATTTAACTGCCCTCGTCCCTCCAGAGTGCACTTGTCTGAAGGCGGATCTCTTGTCGTCATCTGACGCTGAAGCCGTGATGAAGTCTGTTCAGAGAGCACTTGGTCCCGTCTCCCTTCTTGTCAACTGCGCTGGTGTGACTCTGAACAAGATTCACCTGCGCTGCACGGATGACGATTACGACGCAATAATGAATGTTAATCTTCGTGGTGCACTTAGCATTACCCGCGCGGCGCTTCGTCACGGTGGAATGTTAAGGGAGGGAGACGGTTGTGTTCTTCACGTTGGCTCTGTCGTGGGCAGCTTGGGCAACGAGGGCCAGGTGATTTATTCAGCATCAAAGGCCGCCTTGAGTGGTGCTGTGAAGTCATGGGCGCGGGAATACGGTTTGAAGAACCTGCGTTTTAACGTGATCGCCCCTGGTCTGATTGATGGCGAGGGGATGGGATTGGCGTTGTCCGAAGAGCAGCGTGAGTGGTGGCGCACGCGTTGCCCAATGGGCCGTTTAGCTACTGTGGAGGATGTTGCTGATGCCATCATTGGCGTTAGCTTGTGTCGTTTCATCAGCGGCCAGACCATTCATGTGGACGGAGGTTTATGCTGAGAGGCCAATAACGCTGATGTTGCATATATTTCTCTTTTAGTTTTTTCTTATTTGCATTTGAGATCAAATTACAAGAAAGAAACACCAACTCACACGTACGCAAAATGCGAGTGGACCACATTTGTCAACTTTTTTACAAGGTGTTCCTTTTTTTTTTCTTTTCTCTCTATGTATGTGCATAAAGGTTCACAGGTGACAACAATGCAGTCTACCGTGTCCCCCATGACAAGCACCGATAAGTTTCGGCGAGCTTACGATATTGGACTTCCTCCTGCTGTGATTGAAAGGCAGACAAAAGTTTTAAACTACAGCAGCTCCACTGCTGCTGCGTTGGCAGGGCAGTTGGAAAACTGCGTCCGGTTGCTTCGCGGACACTGCGCGACACTGCACTATTGCAATGAAGAAATTGAGGGTGCCTTGCTGACACTTGGTGTTGATGTGACACATTCTTTACTTTCTTCCATTAGCGGTGTTATTGAGGGCCTTGAAACCGTGGCGGGGACATGCAAGGCGATGTGTGAAAGCCACTTTGAGGAAGTTCGACAGCGGGAGGATCTTTTTGCTTCGTTATGCAACATGTATGTCACCTTGAAGGAGCGAAATGAGTTCACGGAACGGGAGTTGCGTAGTATTGTTGCGGAGCGTGATCGTCAAAATGCCGCGTTTGACAGGGCGGTTGCATATGTAGAAACGCTGATTGCGGAAAGAGCAGTTTGGCACGAAAAGAACGGGTATAATTGTGTCGGCCTCCCGTTGGTGGAGAAGTTGTTTTCGGAAAGCTGTCATGAGGCCCTCGATGTGTTCGACAGGATCGCACAGGAAACTCGCACTTCGGATGGAATGAGTTTGGATTGCATTCTTTCCAACACGGACACCCCTCGCAAACTTGTGAAAAGGTGGGAGAAGATTGAGGATCTTCGGCATGCGAACGGGATGCCTTCCGCGCGGCTGCAGTACATTCCGCCCAGAGATGAAGTACTGCTTCTTCGTGAGGTGCTGAAAATGGGCACGGGAAGTCGAGTGTGCTGCGAG